AAAAACGATTAAAAATATAGAAAACAGGTACAAACATTCTCTCTTTTGAATGCTTAGCAAGATTTATCAAGGCTGTACATAAATAATCAAAAAGAAACATGGTGAAAAAAAAAGTAATGACAGGATCTCCATATTATGCACTGTATTTAACTTTTTACAAAACGATAATAGGTTTAAATTTAAAACTGTTACAGCCATTTTAATTATGAGCATTAGCAAACTTCTTACAAACATGTCGACATCTTCTAGCCTGGCAGCTTCCAGTGGAGTACTGTTAAATATTTTTGTTTTCACGTTTTTTTTCTCCGAAGGCATTATAAAACTGACTAATTATACATTTGTCGTTTCGCTGTAACGATCACCGTGTTGATAGCATTGCGATGTAGTGGATAAACACCATTCAGACCATTGCTGTGCTGTCATCGATAACTAACTTTTCAGTGGCAAAATACACAAACGTAAAATGCTCGATTAATTAAAAATAAAAAATACCCCGAAAATTACAGAAACATCGGCAACGAGATGCTGTTTTTAAACACCGCGGTAAAATCACGCACTCTGCGATGCCATCTTGGTTACCTTAATCGGAAACCCCCTTGTCCGCTAGCATGCATCTGTAGCGATGTCGCAAACTACGTTGTACGGCCGTGCTCGGCGACCTCTGGTACTATGGCACTCTATGAATGAGGTATTTCCAGAGGTCAGGGTTCACGGAAACCATTTTTCAACTTCAAACATTCGTTTAGGAACGACTTATTGTGCTGTCTGCATGAGCGATACTCGCGTTCATATTGCGCGGTTGCGACGTTCTACATAATTCGGGTTTGAGTCGTGAAGCAGGCCAACATAAACAATATCACTACATATTCTAACTTATTGGTGGGATATCATAATAACAATAGATTCCGCGCTCAAATATATGTTCGCCTTGTATCGACTTCTCATCCAAAATGGCGCTGTGTGTCATTCATTATTGTTATAATGATATGCAAATTCATGCTTCATAAGTCTCTGTGTTTTTTTTCCCACTAGATTTCCGTCATCGTAAGTATCTGCACTCTGACAGCGATCGGTATTGATAGATACTTTGCAGTAATGCATCCACTGAAAGTAAGGGTCACCAAGAATAGAACAAAGATTGTGTTCAGCATCATCTGGTTAATAGCTATCTCCCTGGCGACGGTGCAAACAGTCTTTGTACGTGTTGAAGAAAACTACTTCGACGGCGAGACAGTATACTTCTGCAGTGAATGGTTGTCTGAATTCCAATTCGCTAAGGCATATGAAATATTCTTCTTGATGGCTACCTATACTATTCCGTTATGTATTCTATGTTATACATACTCATGTGTTGGCGTCCGTCTCTGGGGAAGAACAATACCCGGAAACGCAGACAAGTCACGAGATCAAAGTCAAGCCAAGGCTAAAAAGAAAGTAAGAGAACAGACAAATAGATACTAAGTAATGTTTCTTAGACACATATAGACGCCCAGATTTCTTTCAAAACTTGGAAACCACGAGACCCTCGAGTCGTGATTTGTTCTCCCTTGTCATCGCCTTCACTGGTTACTGTCAACGAGATCTCGTCATTGCGTTCACTCGTTACTGTCAACGAGATCTCAGCATTGCGTTCACTTGTTACTGTCAGCGAGATCTCGTCAGTGCGTTCAGTCGTTACTGTCAGTGAGATCTCGTCATTGCGTTCACTTGTTACTGTCAGCGAGAGCGAGATCTCGTCATTGCGTTCACTTGTTACTGTCAACAAGATCTCGTCATTGCGTCTACTCGTTACTGTCAAGGAGATCTCGCCATTGCGTTCACTCAGTACTGTTAGCGAGATATCGTCATTGTGTTCACTCGGTACTGTCAACGAGATCTCGTCATTGCGTTCACTCAGTACTGTTAGCGAGATATCGTCATTGTGTTCACTCGGTACTGTCAACGAGATCTCGTCATTGCGTTCACTTGTTACTGTCAGCGAGATCTCGTCATTGCGTTCAGTCGATAATGTCAGTGAGATCTCGTCATTGCGTTCAGTCGTTACTGTCAGCGAGATCTCGTCATTGCGTTCACTCGTTACTGTCAGTGAGATCTCGTCATTGCGTTCAGTCGTTACTGTCAGTGAGATCTCGTCATTGCGTTCACTTGTTACTGTCAACGAGAGCTCGTCATTTCGTTCAGTCGTTACTGTCAGTGAGATTTCGTCATTGCGTTCACTTGGTACTGTCAACGAGATCTCGTCATTGCATTCAGTCGTTACTATCAATGAGATCTCGTCATTGCGTTCACTTGTTACTGTCAACGAGATCTCGTCATTGTGTTCAGTCGTAAGAGTCAACGAGATCTCGTCATTGCGTTCAGTT